ACACCACATGAAAGACTTTCAGCTACTTTAAGGGAAGCACCAACTATAGATATCATCTATAGTAGGCATTTACGAAAAGTCACTCTGAGCTCTCTGGTTTCTATATTCATCTTTGTTGTTTTAGTGGAATTAAAGAAAGAGGGCAATACAATTCAGAGCACTAGAGTGACTTCGTAAATACCTAGTAGAATCATAAATATTAATAAAACAAATATTACGCTTCACAAGCGTCACGATAAAACAAATATCCGACGCTTAAAAAAAGTGGAAGAAATACCTGGAGTCGACCTTTACGTTTTGTATTAATAATTTTATTACAATTTTAGATTTTTAGCAACGGGAAGAAGCTACGAAGATTTGAAGTTTTCTGCTGTAATCTTCCCTCAAGCTCTGGGCAGAATAATACCCGAAACATGTGCTGCAATTTATACAATATTTGCAAAGGTAATAAAATATATGATAGTGACGTATAAATTTTGAAATTACGTTTAATATCAAATAAAACAGTACATTTCAACAAATAAAAATTGAAAATATATATATCCTATAAAATGGACAGATTTATCCGTATTATAGAAACAAAAAGATCTAGGCGATATTTCGCTAACAATATTTAGAATGAAAGAATATCAGTTATTATCATTAGTATCAAAGGTTTCAAATAAATGTGATTCAGAGTAAGATGGATAGCTGCTAACGTACTGAGGCTGTCGTAGTTCTGTGTAATTATTAGCTGTGGATGTATCATTAGATGTACTTTTAAAAATGCTGGTTGAACCGGCAGTAACTGTAACATTATCGTTGAATGTTCTTTGGGAATGTAAGGTACACTGGCAGTAGTTGAAGGTGGTTGCAATCTCCATTGCCTGTTTAAAGTATTGCACTCTGCTTCAAATAAAACGTCGTTAATACAATTTTCAGCCATAATCCTTTGATCTGTTGGAAGAGCCCTTAATTTCATAGCGACATTGTCTCCATAAACATTAAATCTATCCTTTCCATGTCCATCTGCTTTTGGTCGGTTTAACCTCTCATTAATTGTAATTAAAAGGTCATCACGGGGATCTGTTTTTCGCCTACATTTTTTGCAACCAGATGGCGCATTGCTGTAAGTGGAAGTACCTGTTGATAGAACAGAAGGTTCAGATATTGGTGTCTTCATTTTCCTCATCTGGCGGTGAGAGTACAGTCAGAGTGCTTTCTTGATTTAATTACTTAGGGAATGTGACTGATGAAAGTGTTCTTGCTCGGGCTCTGACAGAATATTTTTTGTTCTAGTTTACAAAAACTGAAAACGAATGGAAGCATATTGCACATAGTTTCGAGGAAAAATGGAACTTTCCTCACTGTCTGGAGAAATTAGGAGAATCTCAGCTTGGAATCACAGCATTGTCATTGAGATGGAATTATGCAAGGAGCCACACAAAGCGATCCCTTGATAATACCGAACTAATAAAATAGTCCCTAATAGTCCCTAAGTACATAATTGGAAGATCAATTAATCACAACTTTGCAATTTTTTAATTTCCATCATCATATTTATAGCCAGAACTTTTTTATTTATTGTGTATTTGTAGGAGTGAAAGCAGACGAGTCAACATATTTTTTAAATGGAAAATTGCAAGAAAAGCATCAGTTGGTGTATTTAAATTTGGTTCAATATTTGGCCCCGAATCTTCGTGGAAGATTTTTAATTATTTATGCAATAATTAGAAGACTTCGTCTAAATAGTTGCTTTTGTTAGTTCTATACGTCAAATATGTGAAAGAGGAATATCATCCTCAGTTTCCCATTCATTATCATCAATGTCATTGTCTGGAAAGTCTACAGGTAAATTAATGATATCAAATAAATTATTGACATTATTATTGGAAAACGCATTATCTTCATTTTTCGTTAACTGGTGACATTTCATCATTCAACGTAGGTAAATAAATCAGTCGAACTAAGCTTCTCTAACTCCCGAATGGAGTAAGATACATTTTCTAAAATAAGAAAAGAGAAATTGTGATATGCCGCCTACTGGTTTCACAACAGACCCGACTACTTCGTTGAATGAAAAATTGTCTAAATTTAAAAATGTTTTTTGTAAATGTTATATACTACAAATGTCTTCAGAGGTTGCCTGCAGATCACGGGACCTACTGGTAGTATTCCAGCTTGGCACCAGGCGAGCACTAGATTGAAATTTAAAACTGAATGGTTTCACGATAAAAGCAGAAGGCGACAAAGGGTTAAATAGTCTCGAACTGAGACACTGAAATGGGCCGGAACGCCATCATGCACGAAAAATGATTCTGCTCTTAAACTGATCTTCAAACAAATCCTGCAAAGCGTTTATCAACAAATTCAAATATACGGGTACGTGTAACTGCTTAAGTAAAGGCCCAAACGTTAATAGAAAATTTATCCTGGAATCCAAATGTTGTTTTGAAAATTAACAACGCCTTCGCGCGTAAATCCTGCTTCTTCCACGAACAACACTTTATCGATAATGAAACGGTCCTGGTGAAACGGTTCATTTCTTCAAATGAATATTCCATAATTCTTTAAACTTGAACACTCTGATTCAAGTAGTTTTATACAGTAGAATAATTGTTTACAATCATATCAAATAAATAGATTTTCGGTTGCTATATGAACTGTAAACATGCCTGACTATTTTTATTTTAAACATAGTGCCGCCATAAGCCTCCTTTAATGTTTTTATTCTCTAACACAATCTTTGAACCACCCTTTGAACTGAATTGTGGACCTATGTTCATATGAAAAATTCTTCATGTTTTCTTATGTAGAATCACCCCTGAAATTTCGGACGAATTTCCTTAAACCCTGTATTTAAGGGGGATCCCCAAATATAACCATATTTGGAAGTTCCAGCTTTTTCAGTACTTGGTGAAAGTTGGTAGCAGTTACATCATTTTCATTTAATTTAAATGTAGTTTTAATGCCACTACAAGTACTTCCGCTTCGTTCATTGAAAAAATTTGTAACTAGTACGTAGTTTCCTTCTTTATCATCTTCCGCATCACCATTAAGCTATCTCCAAAATCTACCCATTCTTCCATTTCTAAGTCTGAAGATGAATTGATGTTTTTATTTCTTATCCTTTTTCGTGAAGATATTTTTTATTTTCATTCTACTTCCTTCTGTGTCTTTTCTTTCTTCAGCCGTTGTTATTTTCCTCCAGCTATTTTTTTGCTATATTATTATTTTCCTGATATTGTTGTCATTCTTTAGCAGTCACGAAGCTTTTTCTTCGTTTCTCCTTTAACGGCTTTGCAACTGCAAATATGGCCCTTCTCTTTGATTTGGTGCCTCCATTTGGTGTTCCGAGTTTACTAGCATACGTCTTTATTATGGATAACATATTTCTGACCTGTAACACTAATAGTTAACACTTCAATGACCTGGTCCTTTACAAAAACTGGAAGTTCTATAAAGCCATCAACATCTTCTAATCCTTGACCGCCTTGTAAGTTTTTGCAAAAATCTTTACAATCATGGGGAATGAAATGCATTGTTGTCAATATCTTGAAGCCTACGTACTGATATCTTTTTACCATCTAGTCACATAGGAAGATCTGTAAAGGTTTTTGCGCTAGGTCTGTCAACGTGCTTTTTTCTAATGTATATTTCAACATGTTTGCACATCCTGAAAAGTTTACTTTAAAAATATAGAAAACGGCCTATTTTTATCAATGTATATTTCGCGAGTTTTTAGCCAGCTCACCTTTTCTATATTGATATCGATCTTTCTATTGCAGATCAATTTTTCCTCAATTTCGACTGTGCTTTGAAAGTCTGCAGATTTGATACGAATAACTCGAATTTCTTTTCCAGTATTTTTTCATTGCTCGAATGTAAACATCTAGAACGTATCATTCGACTTCCAAAAAGTCAGAGTCATCAGATATAAAACTATGGTCTGAGACCAGAAATTTCACGAAAATCTTTTGAAGACAGGGATGAGATTCTTTACAGTCATCATCATGAGTCATTTTAATATTGCGATTTTAACCATTCATTCTTTCACATTTGATTAAACTTTTTCACTCGTGTACTCTACTCTAGATGTAGAATAATCCAAAATGCTGGCGTTTTTCTCTATCTCACTCAAAAGACTATGTGGGGATGTGTACATTTTGAGAATTTCGAATTCGTCATTCAAAATATTTTGAACTTGTTCCCTCGAAATATTTTGAAATTGGCGAGAATCAAACAATTCAATCTGGTTGGTGGTGCTTATTTTTGTTCTACACGTTTTAGCTTTCAAGATTTCTGAACCTGAAATCGACTGAAATTTGTTTATTTCTCAGCCAAGAATTCAACCACCTTGCACATGACTGGTGTATTGCGTTTAGAATTTAAAAAACATAAAACACTACAACAAAAAACACCATGAATATTCTAACAACGTTATTTAGGTAATATTTGTTTTTAATTTCATTTTTAATATTTGAAATGTAAACTATAAATCAATTGCATAAATAATATTTTATATGATGATCAAAAAAACTACTTCTTTTAATATGGTGTATTTAATTACTATGTAGCATATATTTTTATTTTAATGTTCACAAGAAAATATATTTGTAATAAAAATATTTTTATTTTACTTGTCAAAAACTAGGTAATCACAAAAATAATGTTTTATTATTTCATAGATATTTAGGTTTCAATTGGTAAAGAAAACAAATAAATAAATAATAATACTATATGTAGATATATTTTTTAAACTACAACACTACAAATATAAGATATATTTTTTACACTACAAGATATATAAATATATAATTAATTTATAAAAGAAAGCTGTAATTTAATAAAATTAATAATAATAAAATATTTTTATATTTAATTATTAATTTCACTAAATTTTGCAACGATGATCTGATATTTTCTCTTTGTCTCGTTGGCAGACCACTCCTTCCTGTCGAGGGAGAGCTCCAGCGCATCAAGGAGCCGGATCTGTTCCCTGAGGGTCTCTCTGTGAACCCTCAGTGACTTTTTTCCCCCTTGGCGCGGGGTATGAGGTCTTCGGTGCTTTTAATTTTCTTCTTTATATTATTCATTTTTCCGTCCACTCGCTGACGGAATTCCGCCCTCCGCTGCAACTCTTCATTTATAATTTCTAACCAATCCTCGGAATCGTCCGAGGTGGTGGATGAAGAGGTGGACAGCGTTGGTGACAGCGACCGGACGGACGAAGATGGCCTCATGTTCTTCCTTGCCAGATGCATATTTTTGCCTCTGCAACAAAAATTAACACATAATAATTTATATATTTCTCCAGGATGGTTTCAGACTTTTTTTAAATTTATTTTTTGAATATTTACCTGGAAGGAAGTGGAGCTTCGTGAGATGCCGGAGGATTTTGAAAATCATCATCATCGTCATCCTCTATCTTTCTTTTAGCCGCCGCCGCCGCCTTTGATGAACCGCTTGGCACCGAAGCCTCCATATCGATAATTGCGTCGATGGCGAAATCAAGTTGTTCATCAGATATTCTGTAAGAAAAAAAAACGAAAAAATGGTTTAAAAAAAAACGTTGAAAAACATTAGAAAAAAACTTACGCTTCATTTATGGCGGCGTCGATTGCAGGACCACTTTCCTCGCACATCTCTTGTAGCTCCAGGCGGGCCTCTTCAGATAGAGATGAGCACATGATGATATTAAAAAATTGACTTTAGTACAAGACGTTGTTGTTACTCAGCTTGTAGAAGACTGGCTGGTAGAAGACTGAATAATATTTAACGAATTCAGTAAGCTTATATATCAAATTCTTGCAACTTACACAGTAATACGAACATCCGGCGAATTCCGTTGAACTGTACAGGTGACTTAACTCTTTGATGTCAGCTAAAATAATGTTACATAGTTATTCTTTGAGAACTGTAATCTGACACCATTTCCTGCTGAGTTAGCAAAAAATGTAATTTGACACCGTGCTTAGTAATTTGACCCCATTTCCTGCTGAGTAAGCAAAAAATGTAATTTGGCAAGAACAAGTAAATGATAAAAACTTTCTGTATTTGATTTTTAATTAAATCATCAGCCCTACTACTAATGATAGATCTGTACATAAATAATACTTATAGTTCTGCACGAACGGTCATCAACCTCTACCGCATCTCTAATTGTGGAGCAGAATCGGCACAGCTATTCTACTTACATGAAAAGTGTGTAGTGCCACATCTTTTGGAATTGGGTGTAGAAAGCCCTCTTTCTTATCGCGAGTCTTTTATTGTATATATATGGTATGCACCCCTCAACATATTTTTGCATTCAGGGAAACCAGTAACTCTCGCATAATCTATTTAAGATCTCTTCTACACCAAAGTGTCCAAACTCATCATGAGCTGCTTTTACGATACGTTGTCGCATTTCCTTGGGTACTACCCATAGTAGTCCTCGAACGATACAATCAGCTATCACAAACAATAATTTCGGTAAATCTGTTTTCCTGATCAGTTTTTGGTGGTTTTAAGAGCACTTCACGAATTTCTTTAAGTTTCTGATTCGTTAGTTGACTGGATAACACCCAGTCTGCTTCTTCTATTCGGAAAATTACATATGTCCATTTCTTTATTTCTGTAATGGCTTAAAGCATCCACATGGTCCATTCTATTTCCTGGTGAATATTGTACTTCAAATGTGAATTCTTGCAATTCGAGCCACCATAGGGCGATTCGGGGAATTAATTATTTCTTTTTACTGGAAGCTTTGCAGTCTGTAACAACAGTAAATGGAATGCCAATAAGATAAGTTCGGAATTTTCGTAAACTTTCCACTGCAACTAGTGTCTCCATAACAATGATATTTTGTCAGTCCGAGTCGAACTTTCTTTTCTAAAGTTTCTCGTAACGATTCAAAGGCCTCATCCACTGTTGGTGCGTACAATAACAACAACACGCCGTCTAGATAAAGAGCCAAATTTGCACATAGAGGCTTTAAAAGTTTCGTCATTAGCTGTTGAAATACTCCGGGTGCGTTAGAAAGACCAAACGGGACTCTGTTATATTCATAATGACCTTCCGATGTAACGGAAGCAGTGTATCGCTTCGATATCTCTTCCATTGACACTTGCTGGTATCCCGATCTTCGATCCAAGCTGGTAAAATAGTTACCACTTTGTAACTTGTCAACTTGATTGTCAATTTAGATAAAGGCTGGTTTTCTTTAACCATTATAGAGTTTTCTATAATCGATGCGCAGTCTCTGTTCACCATTTTTCTTTCGAACAAGTAAAATAGTTTTCTTATTTCGTTTAGTTCGAGGCGATGTTTCAGTATTCAGTATTTTAACATGTTTTCTTGCTTATTCTAATTATTAAAAATATTTAGAGCATATTCTCGCCGTTTTAACATTGAATTTATACGTCTGATAGCACCTATGCACCCATGTTTCACATATTCGCTTGTGTTTTGGAATTGTAAAGGAACGACTTTTTGAAACATGTTTGCTCTTTTTGTTATTATTACTAGAACATCCTACCACTGCACAGTACACCACGTCAGGATAAACCGTAATTAGCAACTCACGTAAATGTTAAATAACTTTAATAATACTTTAAGAAATAGAATATGTGCAAACGTATAAACTGTATTCTGAGGAGACTCAGAGTCCAATGCCTTCTCGATAGTTCATATCGGTATCCCATACCGTAACATAAATAAACAACACTGCCCTAGACATAATAATATTTCACTGGCTCAAGAGGCCCTGCATTATGAATGTTAAACACTAAAAATGTCCTTGGTTGAACCTCACAACCATAATATTAATACTATAAAATGTCAATTAAAAGTCAAACACCAAAATATTAGAATATAACTATCTTATATACTACAAACGTTTACAACGAAATGCTCAACTATACGAATGCACGACTATTAGCCACATAAATGCCAACACCTGCAGTTGAATTTGTCACGCAATGACGTCAGAAAGCGAGAGGTAAGCAAAACAATCGACTCGTGGGTTTATCTTCTCCAGTAATAGCACATCATATTAAGCAATTGCTTTATATGCTGTGGTAATAGTATCATGGAACTGCTTGAACTATTTATCTGACATCGCCTTATGTATGGATATTCGCAGTGGCAGGTGCCTGGCTAGGGGACATTCCGATGGAAGCGTTCTTTCTTGTTCGTAGGGAAAACATTATGGTACCAATCACTTGGTCCCACAACTTTGGTACCTTATTTCGTAGGTGAATGCGCAGGAGCTTCTTAATCTCCTGGTTCCTGCGTTCCACTGGATTTGCCCGTTGGTGGTATATAGGCGTGGTATAAGTGTGGATGCTGTGCCGTTGATGAAACCGTTCCCATGTTGTACTGTGGAACACCAGGGCATTATCTGTAATAGTTTCTTCCAGGAGTCCCCATCTGGAGAAGATTTCCTCGAGAAAATTCATGGACTTATGGTACGGCCTTAGCTTCCGTCCACTTTGTACAAATCTATTCTTGTTTCGCGTCTCAGGGTAGTGACCCATAACATCCAGGCTAACGACCTGCCAAGGTCGTTTTGGAGCATGTGGCCAAAGGGGTGCATGTTCTTGATAGACCCCACATCTCTTCGATGCAGCACATACTGGGCAGTGTTTTACATGAGTTTTTACCTGGCGAGTTAAGGCAGGCCAGTAATATAGTTCTGTTATAGCGGTGATGGTTTGATTTCTATCCGAGTGTCCAGCAGCCACGGACTCATGGTATTCGTGAATGACCCGTCGCCATAGGTCCAGTGGGACGACGAGTTGCTTGCTATTGTTTCTACTATACCATATTAGTCAATATTAGTCCTTAGTCGGTGTCATCGCGCCCTCGTCGCCTGATACTCAATGCTCCGAGTTTCATTCGCCACTATATCGTCATATAATGTGGTGCCGGGTAGATCTAGTAACTACAGTCAAACCTTTAGAGAATGATTAATTGTTTGGGTTACAATTAAAAGAGTGAGTAAAATTATTTGTTAATTTCAGATAATTAAAGTGGTATTAAACTTATAACCTACAAGTTTTGTTTGCAAAAAGATCCAAATTCTTGGGATTAATATTCCCAAAGGTTTAAGGTAAAAATAAAAAGATATTAAATCGATTGCGACTCAATCTTACCAGGTTTTCGTAGTTAAATGAGCTCAGCCGGCTTCTTCACAGATTGAGTATTAGAAAAGAATTATCACTATGGAAACTATCAGTTCATAAATTAATTATTAAGTGGTTTTTATAATTAATTATTAAGCGCACGCACTCCCAGCGTGATTTTTAGCGAGTATATTTATTCAGCCCAGAAAATCAGGATTAATACGTGTCACAGAAAAAAAGGCAAAATAAATCCAATTTTTAATAAGAACATTACGAAACAGCATTCATGTTTTCTTTGCAATAATTAGTTTTTATGCTGATTTAATCCACATCGTTATTCAATATATTTTGGTACAGTTTTAAAAAATATTAATATATAAACATTTACAAATAATTAAATTATATCTTTGCATTTACTTATTAATTATTTTATCAATTGCATATACTCAATTCATTTCAAAATTAATTATCAATTACTATAATTAATGTATATATTCATAACTTTTTATATTACTTTGTTTATAACATAATATAACAGTTTCAAATAGGTGACCAGGGTATAGTGAAACGGATCTTGTGGTTTCTGACGTTTCCGACATGGTACTCTCCATTGGCGGGACTGCTGGCCCTTTAAACTCTTCTCACTCTATTCTTGGGAGTCCATTTAACACTTGAGCTATGTTATGAACATTTTCGTTCACACAAACTCCTTCTCTCAACAGTTTTATCAAGGGCAACAACTGCCTGGGGGCGTATGTAATAGCGCCAGACAAATTCTCGTTATTCTGAATTACTGCTAGTAATGGTGTAATGAGTTGTTTTCTGTCCAGTGTATTACCAATACATTCCAAGTACATCGCCAAAGGGTAGGGCAAAATCTCAACCATATTGTTAAAAGTCAGTAAGCTCCTCAAGCGTGTATAATCTTTTTGATGGTAGATCCTCATCAGGCTTGTCCTGGTGGGCACGTTGGGCATAGCATAACTTAACTTCGGCTAATATTTGCATTCCTTTCTTGAAAATGTTTTTGTTGGTGAGGGTGTTAAGGTTCCCAAATGGTCTAGTTCCGATTGCTTCCATCGTGTCCCAAACTCTGTCAACATATTCCGGTAACACATTAAATGTAACTGGAACCGTCCCTGGGTGCACTTCATTAGCAATGGGGATTGTGGAGATATTAGTGGGGTCTGAAATTTTCAATCTAGCAAAGATACCTGCTTGGATTGCATCATCCGTTTCTTTGTTCTTCTTCTTATAGAATTGCTCGGCTCTCCTTTGTTGAGAATCTCTTCCAGTCTTATGCTTAGACTTCTTTTCTTCATCCACTACATCTGTAGTCACTTTCTTCTCGGTTTCGCTCTGCATGTTGCAATGACTTTCGGCGCGGCCTGAGGCCTGAGATTATACTGATGTTTACTTTTCAGATGACTAGCTTCTAATTTCTTTTTAACAAAATTTCGTAATTCAGTTTGTCGTATACTACAATCGGTTTGGTCATCCGTTACACGATCCACGGCCCCGGAACGTGGGGAATAGGTGACATGTCGTATTCTACGATCTTATTGGTTGGGATTGTCGGTCTCCGGATTGGTTCCCCGCTCCATGGGGCTCCGAAACGAGGGGCGTGGAGGGCAGGAGTTCGAACGCGCGTTGGACACCATGTGGCGGCTCGTCGCTCTCGGTACCAGTAGGGTATATGTACCGGTAGTGAGTCTCCTCCCACCACTTTCTACCTTAATGAGTCATAATTAATTTTAATTAGCATTCATTAGTGGGTGTGATGTAATTAATCTTATTTAATTAACTTTAATTGATA